GATTATCTCGAGAACCACGAGGTTTATCAAAAAAAATGTACGGAATATAAATTATACTTCTTGTTATTTCGTACAACTTTTGTTCGAAATATTTTTCGCTCCGATGCATATTTAACGAGTTACCAGCGATAAATTTTGAAGTTCGTTCAGAAACGCTTATGGATTTTTCATATAGTGTGTCCATTAAGTTCGATATTAATCGAAATTACAATTGGCCAACAGATTTTAGCTAAAACTCCTCTATCATCTGCCAGTTCCAGAACTCTCAGTCCCGTTCTCTGCTGCAACTGACATCTCTTCTCACTTATCTTCGCAGTGCTCAATTCTCGACTGTCAATTCTCAACTGACTCAATATAACCACTTAGCACCGTTTCCAACAATACCCTTATTGTTGTGTGTTTACCGATCCGTTGCTTAGAAAAGGGTTCTTCTCTTGTTGCTTGCATGTTAATTTCCGCGGGAACCTGTTCACCGAGCCGTTGCCTGGCAATGAATTATTCCGACTTTCAACGCGTTATGTTCACAATATCATGCCATTTTGCTGGGAGTCGTGTAGCTTTATTGGACATAAAGCACAAATTCATTTTACTACACTTCATGCATGTGAAGAATATATTAATTAATGTATAGGTTTTCTTTAATTTAATATAGATATTTCTGTCGGAGTTTATCAGTTTCATATGGCATTACAACATACCGTTGCAGACTTTCTTAATTCAGTAGAAAGCTATATCGGGGATTTCCCTTCTTATCTCAGATTACTGTAATGTCTCTCATACAAACACTAACGGATTAGATATACCAACTGAAGGACATTACATTATCAAAAATGACAGATAAAGATATTATGAACATTGTCATATTTCTTTTCTTGCTGTACTACCTTGAGACTATTGACACAATTTTCCATTGAATAATTCAAATTTATCTTGTACATTATGACTGACCCGTAAATATGAGTCCAGAGGCAAAGGTGATTATGAAAAGAAAAAGAAACTTCTGGGATATACCACCGTGTAGTCCGCTGAATATCAACAGACGTTTCGGAGGAACACTTTGCCACCATCTGCAGGGTGGAATAATAGGCCCAAGAAAACGTCAGCGTCAAGAAGACAGCAAGCGTATTACATCTGCTTGCTTGCCTTGGCTTACTCTTCGACCATGAAGGTTGAGGCAATAAAATGCTCCGAAACTTTGAACTACCATCTACATTTATGACTCCCAAATATTCTCTTCCATTCAGGCTTTACAGCAAAAATGTTACATGTATTCCACATGTATCCGATGGATTCTACATGCCCTGCCCATCTCATACTTTTTTCTGTAATTACTCAATAATTCTCATATTCGAAGGGTACGGTCTGACGGTTGCAACATCGTATAGTCCGGAAACAGTCTGGCCTTTCGGAAGGTCATATCGCCTCCATTTTCAGGATCGAAGAGTAAACCAAGCAAGAAATCAGCATGAAGCAGGTACAGACACAGGCAGCATGGTGATCTCATATGTGTACTTCTAGTTTTTCTTCAAACTATTGAAAATAGACTGAAAAATATCCTTCCTCTTTCTCAAAACAGCGAAACAAAACCAACTCCATGGCCTGTAGTCCGCAATCGGACTATATCGACCGAGCGACCGCCGCTTGTCGGCGAAGTTAGTGCCAACTTTTGTGGATAGAGGGTATCGCGTGGTCAGTGCAACGGATCCCCATGGCCGTTAATTTCTGTTTTTTAGACCGGAGCCGCTATTTTTCCCATTCAAGTAGCTCCTCAATTATCCTCACGAGGCTGAGTGGACCCCGTTCCAGACCCACCACGTCTCAGAAAATCTGGTAGCGCCGGGAATCGAACCCGGTACCTCTGGATCTGTAGCCAGGAACTCTGACCACTAGGCTACAGACGAAAAAGATTTTTTTTCTCGATAGTATTCTCAGTCTCCAGTTATGCTGCCAATGAACGCGAGATATGGGGATCCTGAGGCCGCATCCGTAAGAATTATCCTTCACCACGTGACGTCTCACTTCGAAAAGAGAATCACGTCACTGAAATCTTTCTTTAANGGTGATCTCATATGGGTACTTCTAGTTTTTCTTCAAACTATTGAAAATAGACCGAAAAATATCCTTCCTCTTTCTCAAAACAACGAAACAAAACAAACTCCGTGGCCTGTAGTCCGCAAGCGGACTATATCGACCGAGCGACCGCCGCTTGTCGGCGAAGTTAGTGCCAACTTTTGTGGATAGAGGGTGTCGCGTGGTCAGTGCAACGGATCCCCATGGCCGTTAATTTATGTTTTTTAGACCGGAGCCGCTACTTTTCCCATTCAAGTAGCTCCTCAATTATCCTCACGAGGCTGAGTGGACCCCGTTCTAGACCCACTACGTCTCAGAAAATCTGGTAGGGCCGGGAATCGAACCCGGGACCTCTGGATCTGTAGCCAGGAACTCTGACCACTAGGCCACAGAGGAAAATTATCTTTTTTTCCCTCGATAGTATTCTCAGTCTCCAGTTATGTTGTCAATGAACGCGAGATACGGGGATCCTGAGGCCGCATCCGTAAGAATTATCCTTTACCACGTGACGTCTCACTTCGAAAAGAGAATCACGTCACTGGCATCTTTCTTTAACATTTCTGTATAAGCACATTAGTCAGCGTGTCCGCGCGGTGTAAGACATGAACTGTCTTTGCCCGGTCGAACACTGGGCTCGTGGGTTCGAATCCCACTCGAGGCATGGATGTGTGTTTGTGTTTATTCTGTGTTTATGTTGTTCTGTGTGCAGGTAGCGGCCTTACAACGGGCTGATCCTCCGTCCAAGGAGTCCTATCGACTGTGTCTGAAATTAAGAATCTGCAAAAGCGGCCAAGGTCCAACAAAACGACTGCAGAGCCAGAGAGAGATAAGCACATTTGAATATGTCACTGTGATGCTCCAATATTTGGGGGGGGGAGAGCAGTTGAACGACTCCCAGAGTCATGAGACGGAAAAATATGGTCATGGGTCCTGCGGGATCCATAACCAAAAATGGTTTTGCTGGCGAGGACCAGCAGCAATATTCTATATGCTGAATCAGTCTCATGACAGCCAGACATAGTGTTAATGCAGGAGTGGAATATTTGACTGGAGAAATTTTAGAGAGGAATACGGTGACAGCAGGACCCTAAATAGCTTTACAGCCTCTCTACACCTACAGTAAGCTATGAAATGTTCCTGTACAGTCAGGAAAAGCGCAGTTCTGCATACTGTTGCAGGTCCCTAACAGACTGTACAGTGACAGCAGGAACCGAAATAGCTTTACAGTCTCTCTACACCTACAGTAAATTATAAAATGTTCTTGTGCAGTTGCGAAAATTCGCGAAATATCCAAAAAGAATCTTCATTATACCTCACTGACTTACAATATCCGTACATGAGTAAAAATATATTTTAATAAATTCTTTAGACCTCGGCGATCCCCCTTTGGAGTACGTCACAACCCACAGTTTGAAATACCATTACTTAAATAAATTCAGCTCGAGATACATTATCAGTTTCTTGTTTCGGATGCAGCAAAAACTCTACTCAACTTACTGCATCTGCTGATAGCTTACAAGTGGGGCCATTTCATGACGCTCTGCCTTCTGTTCATCCTATCTTTACGAGGTCGAACGAGCACTGCCTGGGGACGTTTACACTTAAATTTTTTTCCCTTCACCTCGTAACATGTAATGCCCGTAAAGGTAAGGTAAAGCTATCCCTGTAAGCCCGTGGAAGCCCATAGGTTTGTGAGACGTCGAGGCTCCCACATTTTCTAGAAAATAGGTTCACAGATGACGGTAGTGGCTCAAACTGCTCCCCCCTACTTTCTACTTCCACATTTCTCTCTTTCTCTTGTTCAGGGGTGGAAATGGCTTATCAGAACTGGGTAGACAGTCCGATTCAAAATGGTTAGACGCACCAGTTCGGTAGAAATGTTCGATGGGGATAACCAACAGATATTAAAACGGAATTATTGATGTGTATGCTTATGAATTCGTTCCTACATGTATCGTTGTGGGAAAAGTAGTTATGGCATCTTAAGGCATGGAAATAGCTCCATTACAATGAAGCTGTCTGTAAATAAATATACGGCGCTCACGCCCCTTTCTAGCCCTGGCCTCCTTCGTGCATCTGTGGTTTAACTAACTCACTTCATGGAGCTGAGCCCTTCTTGAGAAGCCGCAAGTTGTGTAGCTACTGAAGAACTTCCCAGCATTTTATGTAACCCTAAAGTTCATTATAGTGTTCACAAGAACACTCCAGTGGTCCCTATCCTGAGCCAGACCAATCCAATCCATACCACCCCATCCTCTCTCTAAAGTTCATTTTAATATTAACCAGACAACCATGTCTTGGTCTTCCTAGTGTAATGGTCTCTTTACTTCCGGCTTTCCCACAAATATCCTACATCCATTCCCATTATCCCTATGTATGCTACATGCCCTGTTCATCTCATTCTCCTTGACTTGATCATTCTAATTATATTTGGAGAAGAGTACAAGTTATGAAGCTCCTCATTATGCAGTTTTTTCCAACCTCCTGTCACTTCATCTCTCTTCGGCTCAAATATTCTCCTCAGCACCCTGTTCTGAAACACCCTTATTCCATGTTCCTCCTTTAATGCCAGAGACACCGTTTCATATCCATACAGAACCACAGGCAAAATTTTTGTTTGTATTTTAATTTCTTTTTTTTTTCTTTTTTTCCCCCTTTTTTGTTTTTAGACAGCAGACGAGAAGACAAAATGTTCTGGACTGAATGATAGCAAGCATTACCCACATTGTATCTCCTTTTAATTTCCTCCTGAATCAAATTTTGATTTGATACTGTCATTCCAAAATATCTGATCTGCGCCACTTTTTGAAAACATATGCTACCTATCTTTATGTCATGATTCTTCCTTGCATTCTGATGAGTAGAGAGCAACATATACATATATACGTATATACATATACTTAAGTGAAAAATAAAGGCGTGACCATTGGTTCAATGGGTGAAGCAAGCCTGATACTATTAATCTGTTACACTGACGGTCACCACTTATTACTGTACACAACGCAATATTCATACATTAAAATTGAAATTGAGATATGATGTTAAAGGATTGTCAGTTCTTACACAACACATACATCCTTTCTTTTCAATTTCCTCTTACAGATATTATGATCATAAAGCTAAATATTATATTATTTAAGCACTCAAACAGGCCTCAGGATAGATACATGATTAATATCTCTTTAATTACTTGTATTATTTATTTTCTGTTAAATTATCAAATCTAAGGAGTAATGCAATTTGTAAATTTTATATAAACCAGTTTTACCTTTTAGAAATTAATCATATCCTCCGATATTTGTAATACATTTCATATTTAGTAAAATTACTTTCATGAAAAATAAAGTTTTAATTATAAAAATATGGAACATAATTGGAAATATGTAAAATTCTAAGGCTATAAAACATCTTAATTAATTTTATTCTAAGAGAAAATTATGATAAACCCATCACCGTTTATGTAGTAACACAAAGTAATAAATACTCAAGGAATAATTTAAAATACTGTAACATATTGCAGAGCATTGCCACGACTATGTCAGATTTCATTTTGGTTTTGCCACAACATTATTATTTGATAAATTACATCCTTCTTTCTGGTCCCTAGCAACCTTAATTAATATTTTTTTGATAATTTGAATCATGGAAATGCAATTTCTCCTTCTTTATGTACAAATATTATAATCACATTCACTAACGTTCTGATGTGTTCAGTAATTATTGTCTATTTCATCTGCTACTACATTATCATAATCATCATTGTCACTCCCACTCACATTTCCCTTCGTTTTTCCACCGAATTTGTTACGTCATTAGGAAAAATATAAATTTCAAATGGTAATACACCATTCTTAATGAATTTCTCTACACTTCTATAATGAATCGCAACACAGTCACCGCCTTTAATAATTTCTTCAACATCGTCCATAAAACTTGACGTTTTGAGAGAATATGAAATAGATTCACCTCCTCTTCTCTTTGATACACGAAACCTGTACTTGAATTTTGAAGAATTCTTCTTTGGACCAATATGAAAGCTAACACAGTAAAAGATATCATCTCTGACCTCCCAGATTATATAAAATATCTCGTTTAAAGTAAATATTGTTTGTCGGAAACTTGATGTTTCTGATATGTTTCTTAGAACAGTCTTGAACGGACCATCCAACTCGACATGGTCTCCTGGGCTGTTATGCATTTCTTGTACATGAGTCTTCAGTTCTGGCAGCGGACCTGCCCAAAAGCAATCTTCCTTAGATATCTTACGGTAAGGACATGTGTGATTACGGTAAGGACACTGTCCTTCGTGGTCTTTGATGGTGTGTAGGGTGAAAGATTCAGAACAGCCTACCATCTTGTTGACGCAGGGGTAGTTTATAGCTGCTGCAAGGTTTTCCAGAGACAAGTTTCGAATCCACTGAAGCTGGTTTCTGCAAGTGGGACAGTGATCTAACCGTGGTCGACACGATGAGCACACATTGTGTCCTGTCGAGCACTGGGTGATGGGAGGCGTCATGTAGCCCATACACACAGGACACTTCAGTTCACGCAGGATCAGCTGGTGTTCCAAGGATGACGTCATTGTAATCTTCAGGAAAGAATCAGAGCAGTTCGCGTTAAGATCTCTGTAATTTTGCTGTTTACACTTTTAAGTTAATACTATCTACAGTACATAGCGATGAGTGGTAGGATAAATTATGAATTTGAAGGATTTGGAAGGAAGTCTGTAGTGGCGGTCTGGATAGTCGGTTTTCCCGCCTAGTTTCGAACCAAGCTCCTCCCAAGTACCACTTCATAGTGTTACCACTACACCATCATAATTAGTCTAATATTATCTGGGCAAATTAAAAAGAAAGAGAGAAATTAGCGACGTTTAAGGCTCTCATGGCCATAAGTAATAATATTGTAGCGTGTACAGCCATTACTACGCAACGACCACGAGATATGCGAATTAACAACGATCGTTTCTGGTCAACGGCTCGGTAAACACGTTCCCGCGGCTACAGACACGAACGGTGTTTTCTATTTGGTCCGTGTAGAGATGTTATAACCAGAAAAGTTGGAGCATTGGGTTCAGTTAACAGAGAGTTCTGCACGGGAGCCTGTGAAGATAGAACCTGAGCGCGAGAATCTGAAGAATCACAACTGTTAGAAGCCGTTACCAGGGAAAGGCTGGAGAAGACATAGGAGATTGGAAAAGGCTTAGCGTGTGCTGTGGTGATTTCTGAATTGTGGAGATCAGCGATAGTGTTATAAGTACTTGTAGTTCCGGGTCGTATGTATAAGTAGTCAGCAAAACCATTCACCAATCCAAACTCCGTCTATGGTCACCCTTACATCGCGACAATATCTGAAGTTTTGCGACTTTTCGGATTAACGTACTGTTTTATGTATTCAGGGTCGCATGATAAGTTTAGCAGGCAGGAAGCCAGCAATCCGCTTGCTTCTTCTGCTTAACTTACAACCCTGAAACTGGAGGCAGTACGTTCCTCCGAAACGCCCGTAAACTTCTACCACACTGCAATGGCTCACATCATAAGAGGACGATGCTGTTTAAGAGACGTTGCGTTATACGGCCAAAATGTTTCTGGAAGTTATCACCTCTCCTCATCCCTGCATAGCACGCATAAGCAGGCCAATCATTATGCTTTCTCCTACAAATGTTCTGTTTTAAATGTCATCATAGTAAAAACTTAATTCAGTTCTTTATTCATAAGAGACTGCGACGAACCAGAGAATAATTAACCCCCTCCCCCCACAAAGAACAAAAACAAACAAGGAAAACTAAATAAAGTCAGGTAGATCCTTAAGAGTTCTGACGATGGTAGAACACTCAGAACTGCTGTGTTTTTGGACTTTGCCATCGTCCGGTATTCTAAAGGACACAACGTTTGGGAAACTGGGTCTGTTTCCGTACTCAGGTGAGGGGGAGACACCTACTTCGTTGGGTCCCTTAGAAAGAGCTAACCTCAACATCAATTCATTAATTTAATTATATTACCTTATTAACAAGAACCCGCGGCTGTTCCTATTCTGAACCATATGAATCCAGATAAATCATAGGTAATGTTCATTTTAATATTATCCTCCCGTCTACGTCCAGGACTTCCTAGTGGTCTCTTTCATTCAGTTTCTTATACAAATTTTGTAATTATTTAAGCCCCACCCCTATCATCCTTCTTAATGTGTTTATTCTTATAGCATCTGGCGAGAAGCACAAGTTAGGAAGCTCCCCATTATGTAATTTTCTCCATGTTCCTGTCACTTAATCACTCTTACGTCCAAATGTTTTCTTCAGCACTCTGTTCCCAACACACCCTCAGCACTATAAATATTAACTTTTTGAATATTATCCATCATCCTATTTTTTATTTAAAAACAGTGTTTTGAAGGCTGACTCTGTCTCCGTCTTCATGTAAAAGCTTACTCAGATAGGGACCAACTCTATCGATTGGGCCCAATCGAGTACGCTTTTACCTGGGGAAGGAGACAGAGTCGAGTCTCCGAAATAATATTTTAAAATAAAAAAACATGACGATGGAAAATGTCCAAAAAAGGTAATAATTATTAATATACCATCGACACAAACTTTTATATCTCATTTAACCTCAGCAATCATAATCATACCCATAACATCATCATCATCCATGGTGAATCATACCCAATACAGTAGCAGATCAAGTGAACACGCTACTCCTAAATGTCAGATTGCATCAGAGTTGTCAGAAGTGGCTTGCTTGGACACCTGTCAAATGGTCCCCTAATTCCAGCGTGTGGGCACCACAGGCACATAGATGACTCCTTGTATAGTTTGGAATGTATGTATGTATGTATGTATGTATGGGGGTGGGGGGCTGCCAATAATTGAAGTCTTTGCTTATTTACATGCTTAAATAACAGCCCATGTAAATAAATAAGGAACTGAATTGAATTACTGGCAGCACACACACACACACACACACAAGTACTAACAGCTCGATCACAATGCCTCTAAGAACTATACAAGGAATAAAAAATTATCTGGCTTACTTAACAGTCCTGATAATATTAAAATAAATAAATAGGATTGGGTGATGTGGACCGGATTCATCTGGCTCAGGATAGGGATCAATGGATGGCTCTTGTGGACACGGTAATGAACTTTCGGGTTCCATAAGATGTTGAGAAATTTTTGAGTAGCTGCACAACTGGCGGCTTCTCAAGAAGGACTCACCTCTATGGAGTTAGTTTGTTCAGGGTATTCGCCATCTTAAAAAAATCGATGTTGCAAAAAGGCTGCAGTTTTTTAGTATGCGCTCAAGTTTATTGAAATCAGTAACTGGAAAAAAGTTCCAGGCAACAGAAGCGACTCCAGTTTAGATCTGATCAAAGCAAAATACAGCCTCGATACTCGTAGACTGCCTTCGGTAGGAAAGTAAAATGTAAGTGTACCAATTAACCCTAACAATTTCATTGCATGTGAAAAAAGAAAATTGACATAATGATGAAAATAAAGTTTACAATCTACATGTACACCCAGATCCTTACTACAATCTGTTCGCAATATAAAAGAGTTTCCAAATCTGTATTGATAGTTTAAAACGTTCGTTTTCCTGGGGGGGGGGAGAAATCTAATTTTACTGAAAAAAGGCTTCATATAATCTGTCGAACACCATTAGTATACACGACCAGTATCTGATTGTAAAAGCAAGCAATCCCTAGGTTAACTAATAGCTTATTAGACTTTAAGGTCGTGAGCAAAATGAAGACATTTGGAGTGATTAATTACGTCACATAAACCATAGCGAAGGCTGTACAACTGACCCCTGAGGTACGCCTCACTGCACGACGAAAGACACAGAAAATATACGAGAATAACGTACACGAGATGCTTGTCTGTTAAATAACTGAGAAACCCTTTACATAACCGGAAGGTTATCCACAGTTACTGAGTTTGTGTGGAACAGTGCTGAAGGCATTACCAAAATCAAAATAGATGGAGAGAGTTTGACCTTGTGATCAGACTGAAGGGGTAACAAAGTCAGAGAAAGTGGCCAAGTTGTTAACAGTGGATTTAGACTTGATAAAAAGCTGCTGGGATTGGTTTGATTTAGTTTTTTAAAAATGTGAGAAACATGGTCATATATGATAAATTAAAAAACTTTAGATAATTATTTAATAATAGCTATGGACCTCTATTTTCCGAGAGTTTTTCTTTAAATAATAATAATAATAATAATAATAACTGGGATAATGAAGTCTGTATAGCGACTGAATAATAATAATAATAAAGAGTAATAATAATAATAATAATTCATGTTACAGTGCCCACAAAGAACGTCATTCAGCACTTCGGCAAAACACAGTTTCCTGACTGAGGCTCTTCGTGTGTTTCCTCAGCCCCTCCTGGCAAATGCCGGGATAGTATATTGAAATAGGTCACGACATATTCCTTCTAAATCCTTTCAAATTCATAATTCATTACTCATCCTACTATTCTACTCTATATAATCTGAGCTACTGACAGCAACGACAAACAGTTTATTGTATTAATGTATTAAACCATTCGAAATAAACTGCAAGATAGGGGAATTACAATTTTATGTAGACTCCACCTTACACAACCACGAAGAGGTCTATCCTCTGGGATGTGACACCATGTAATACAATTTAGGTACACAGACGTTTCGGAGGAATATACTGAATCCATTTTCAGGTCCGAATATATAATAGCAAGCTGAGCATATCTTCGACCCTGAAGTTGGAGACAGTATGTAGTATTAAAGAGGTATGTAAACCTTGTATCAAACTACACGGCGTCATGTCCCGTAAAATAGTTCTCTTCTTGCAGCACTAAGAACATCAAATCTAAAGTAATCATATAAATCCGTTCGCACGTAACTGATAAGACAAATAAATTATTTTAAGCTTTCTCTGCCTACGTCAAATTTAATAATATTTATATTTTGTGTCGTTATATATTTGACTTTAATACAGTATAACTATGTAAGTATCACACATATTCTCTAATGATAATTACGTTGAACTCTGAGTGTATAATCACCAGTTCATTGCTTACCAGCGGACAGCTTTGTTTCTCCTACGGTAACTCCGACCTGACATGTAAACTCACTCACTGGCATCTACTGCTCACTAGAACCCACTAGAATTTGTCTGTGTAATTCTGAAGGTTCTAGAGGGAGCTGTGTATTACGTCACACGTAACGACTTCCAACATCATTTAAAACATTTGTTTTTCAACTGCTCGGACTTGACAATAGGCATGGCATGCAATATGTTAACTCCATAACGAGGTGTAACGGTAAAAAGGTGAAGTTGTCCCTGTGCTTAACTAATTAAGCACTAAGTAATGGAGGCGTATGGGGGAGTGGATGTATAGATCCACATTTTCTTGACTTCGGCACTAGTTGGAGGTGAGTGGTCAGCTTCACGTCATAACTGCACAATTTTTGCCTTCAGAAGTAGCTTCATGCCTATAAGGTAAGGTAAACTATCCCTGTAACAACTTGAGTAGCCCATGGAGTTGTGAGACGTCGAGGCTCCCATATTTTATAGACAATCGGCTCACAGATGGCAGTGAGGTTGTCAGCCTTATGCCCCCCCCCCCCAGGAAGATTCCTGGTACTCACATCTGTTGGAGGCTGAGTCCTATAGGTGCTTTTTGTAAACACACTGGGCGACATGATACATACATGTAAAAAACAGTAATAAATATATGTGTAACGTTAAAAGTTGTCCCTGTGCTTAATTAGTTAAGCAAAAATCATAAAGGCGTAAGTAGAAGTAGAGTTATAACTCCACCACTAGATGGAGGCGATCGGTTAGCTACATGCCCCGGCCCCCTTACCCACATTTGATAGAAGGCTCGTTGGACTCCAGAGCTGGTCTGGACGATGTGGAAAAGAGAACAACCTATTTTCCTTGCCTGGAATTGAAACCCGGTCGTCCGGCCTGTAATCCATTGCTTTACCGACTGAGCTATGACGGCTCATGATATGTAGGTAATTGTTAAAATGTATAAATATTGGGGTAGGTGCGAGGATTATCGTCAAAAATTCGTGGGAGACGTTCAGGAAATAGGGTAAGTTGGGATTGTCTGCCGATCTACGGAGATTTACAATGCGTCGGTTTTTTTTGCAGTGTTGGTATTTCTGCGGTTGTGCTTGAAGCAGGTAGCAGGTAGCAGGGAGCTCTGCTTGGTAGCTGCTTCGTGTTGGTTTATTGTTTGACTTATTCTTGGGCGTTGAAGATGAAGGAGAAATTTTCCTCCGAAACACTGGTTGACTTTCAACGGGCTATATGTCGCTATACCCCAGAACACAGAATAATTCTTTATTTTACTATATCGTGGTATTTGCCTGAGAGGACTGAATAAAACCACAAAAATCCTAAGAGAAGTCGTTAAGTGACCCGGCCGGGATTCGAATTGGGCACGTCCGGTATACAAGTTACAACCGTTACCACTTGAGTCCATTTTCCTTCTGTATTCTTCTACTTCTTTCCCGGCGCTGCAAGCCTGTGTTGTCTTCGCCTTTTCCAGGGGTATAAAAGAATATATTTCCGGGATGGGGTCATTAACCCCACGCCCAAATCCCATGGCCATGGACTGAACTTCGTCTGACATCTACCCTTTAACTTCTCCGGCATGGGTGGCCTACCAGGTGCTAACGTTCCCGCCAGCATAGCTCTCCGGGTCATTAGGGCACGCAAACCTCTCCACGATAAGGCGGTAATCCTCCCTTACTGTATTTTATTATTGGTTGAATAGCATATACAGGAAACACGGGGAAACAAATGTGTTACAGTATTAGGGTAAACAGAAATATGGGTTTTAAATAGCTCGTAACAAATCACATACTTCTGTGTCACGGTATATTATCTGTCCAAAAGGTAAACTTGTTCCTGTAAGGTATAGCTGTCCATGTATCAAGCCGTGGGGGCCCATACGGTTGTGAGAAGTTGAGGCTCCCTGGCTCATAAATGGAGGCCAGTTTGTCAGTTTCACGCGCCGGCCGCCCTTTACTCTCTAGGAATCCTCCTAGTACTCATTTCTGTCGACCCCAAGGCCATAGTGCGGCTGGAATGATTAGGTCAATTGAAAAATCCACTTCATCGGGATTCGAACCCGAGACCTTCCGGCTTGTAGCATAGTGCCTTAACCAACTATGTTACGCGTACATAACTTGTCTCTGTGCTTCATTAATTAAGCATGACGCCATCAAGACATACAGAGGAGTGGAGACATAGCTCCACCATTCCTGATATCGGCTCTAGATGGAGGTGAGTGGTTAGCTTCACGTCCCGGCCGCCTTGCTCCCGGTAATCATAGGATAGGAAGTTGGTTAGGCCCTAGAGCCAATCTGGACGCTATGGAGAACAGAAAAAAATCTTACCTCTACGGGGAATCAAACCCAAACCGCCCAGCTCGTAGCCCGTCGCTATACCGACTGAGCTGTCTTGTCCATCACTTGTGAGAGGTTGCAGTGTTGTAGTGAACTGAACAAGTTGCGATTCCATTGAATTTCGGATACAACCCAGCAAATTATTTGGACCAAGGAATATGACGTGTGAAATAAAAAAATAATGTTTACTCATAATGCAAATTTATTCATAATTACTGATGAAAATAAAACTGTTTACAGCCCCAGAACATATTAAAATATTTGAGTATTTCATAGGGTTTCATCCTTAGATCTCTTGTGCTACTGATTTGGAAATGTTTCTTCATTTTAATATTATTACCAAAATTAATTCATGTCCTTTAAAATCTGTTATCATTTCTTCAAAGATCGTGTCCAGGTATTATGGATAATTACGTATTTGATGATTTTACATGCCACATTAGTAATATTCGCATAACCTCAGATGTTAATTAAAATTAAAATTATTCAGTTTTCTTCATTTTCACCTTCAGTATCATCACTGTTGTCCGAATCATCACAGTTATCATGTTGAAGAAACTCGATTTCATATGCTAAACAGTCGTTTTCTATAAATTTCTGTACACAACCATAATGAATATTGACGCAGTTTCCAGTGTCAAAAACTTCACTTACATCTTCAAATAAACATCTTGTAAAAAGGCAATAAGAAATAGTCCCTATTCCTTTTCTAGTTAATGAAAATCTGTACTTATATTTCGAAGAATCAGTCAATGGCCCAATATAATATGCAACAGCGAAGAAAATATTTCCATTCGTCTTGAAAAGCACATAGAATGTTTTACCTAGTGCAAATACAACTTGCTTAAAACGAGAATTTTCAGATAAATTTATCAACAACCCATTAAAACATCTTTCTATTTCAACACAGTTCCCATTTTTATTATGATCCTTCTGAATGTGTGTTTTAATCCCTGAGAAAGGTCCCACCCAAGTGCATACTTCATTCGACAACACTGCAAATGGACATTGTTGGCTGCCAAACTGACACGACTTCTCGTGGTCTTCAATGTGATGCACTGGGAATGCTTCATTGCAACCGCTTAGCCTATAGAAACAGGGGTAATTCACACCCGCGGCAAGATTTTCCAGTGCAATATTGCGCACCAGAAGTAGTGCCTTTCTGCAGGTGGGACATTCAGTGAGGCGAGGACTACAATACTTGCAAATGCTGTGCCCCGTCGAACACTGGTAGATAGGTGGGATCATGTATGCTAGACAAACAGGACATCTCAGCTCTCTTAATATGGAGTTCACAGAGTCCTTACCAGATGGCTGGATCGTCTGCGTTCCAATACTCATCGACATTTTCTCTTCGCAGTTTTCAAGTTTTATACCTGAAAATTACAGATACGTTACCGCAAATATCAATGTTACTATCGTAACATAGCAACATGGTAATATATTAAAACAATAAACAAACGGAATGTATGTATCTTAGCATCCTCACTAGATAGACAACAAGCATACCAAAAAAAAAAGACAACACATGTCGCATAGCAGGAGCAACTACTTTGATTTAGTTTAGAAACACTGCGAACACGAAAAACACCGACCGCAGAACCGCGGAAGACACGGCAGTTCCCTTCAGAATTTCGACATATGAGGGAAGAATGGGCCAAAACATAAAGTAAAAACGTAACTATCCCTGTAACAGGTCGTGGAGGCCCATAAGGTTGTGAGACGTCGAGGCTCCCACATTTTCTCTAGACAATCAGCTCACAGATGGCGGTAAGGTTGTCAGTCTTACGTGACACCAGCCCTTTACTCCCAGGAAAATTTCTGGTACTCATTTCTGTTAGAAGCTGAGTCGACCCCAGGGCCATAGTGTGGCTGGAAGGATTACGTCAATCAAACGATCCAATTAACTCATCGGGATTCGAACCCGCTACCGCGTGCCCCTGACACATGTAGTGACGAATTTTAAAAAGGATTGAATTTGAAATCTTTATACTGTTGCATGTTTTACGGTAAACGAAACTGAAACTAAGAGGAACTCTATCTTTTTGTCTGTGTACCTCAAGTACTTTTCTCCGTTTTTGTGAGGTCTGTATCGCATCAAAGGAAAGTATACGATTAGTTCTTCCCACAACTTATTGTTAAACAAATTTTGATACAAAAAGGCTTTCAAAGCGGGGACCTGAAGAAAATATACTGTGGCATGCAGACCCGTTGCTAGGCAACGGACGCGAAAGCAGCAGCTATACAACAGCTAAGTAACAGCTCTGGAAAGAGCCATATTTCCACCGCAATAATTGAACGGCGTTTTTTGTGCGGTCCGTGCCGAGATGTTATAAGCAGGACAGTTGGTGAAAAGTGGGTTCACTCAGCAAGTGGGGTGGAATCAACTTGTTGGCAAGTGACTCAATTAGTCGGTTGGTTTGTTGGTGAGTTAGTCGGTGGACACCTGGGGCTCAGTCGTTGTCAGCTGCTAATGTGAGAAGCTGGTAGCTGAGGCAGGGGACAATTCGTGAATCCGGAGGAAGGGGGACGTCTACCGTTGAAGCCGCTACCAAGGAACGGTTAATCAAGTCAGAAAATACTTTGTGTGCTGCAGTTAGTGATGTTTGGAGTGTAACTCAGTGAGACTAACCTAGTTATTTGTAGTTGTGTGTAAGTGTTCAATAAATCCGATTACCAATCCAAACCCCGTCTACAGTAACACTACTCGTAAACACCATGACAGTATGAAACGAAGAGATATGTAATAACAGGAGAATGTACTTAACTGCGTAATGAGGCACAGAATTACTGGGGCTTTTGGACTTCTTCCACAAGCATACCTTCTAGAAAATAGAAAACATGACGTTTCGGAAACTGAATCTGTTTCCATCCTCAAAGGGGCCCAACTGAGTAGGTGTCTTCCCTCCGCACCTGAGGACGGAAACAGATTCAGTTTCCGAAACGTCATGTTTTCTATTTTCTAGAATACCGGACCACAGCAAAGGCCCAAAACCCCAGTAATTGTGTTATACCCTTTAGAATTTGCTGCGTAACGAGGACTTCTCATATTCTGTGCTTTTGGCCAACGACGACTATGATGATCAAATCAGAGGCATGCTATAGAACATATACAGAAGGAAGCACAGATATTAGACAGTAACTAAATACAGTGTGTTTCGGCCGCGCCATAGCTCAAGCGGTTAGTCGCTGGCTTCCCACCGCGGCGGCCCGGGTTCGATCCCGGTTCTGGTCAAGTGGGATTTGTGGTGAACAAAGTGGCGCTATGGCAGGTTCCCTCCGAGTACTTCGGTTTCCCCTGCCAATCTTCATTCCACCAATTGCTCCACAATCACCCTACCTATCATCTGGGGCTGGTACAATAGGCTAGAAGTGGCCGCAGTACAAGGGACTTGGTCCCACCCCACTAGCATTAATAAAAAAATAAATGTTTCTTATTCTAGTGACACAATGGGCTTAATTAATCTGGCTTAGGACAGGGACCAGTGACATGCTATTGTGAACACGGTGGTGAACAGTATTATAACCTTGAGATATGACGCCGTGTAGTCAAATAGAAATGCACTGACGTTTCAGCGTACTGTCTCCCTTTTAAGGGTTGAAGAGTAAGTCAAGCAAGTAACCAGAAAGAAGCGGGCAGTACGTCGGTACACCCCAAAAGATAGTACCTTCCATATTCAGCGCTGCGATAACCTCAAATCCGACAGGACAACGAATTTTCAGGTTTTAGAAAATGCTCGGAATATCTTAAGTAGCTGAGCAACTACTAGCTTTACTGGGTTTTTGGAAGTTTTCCGTCGTCCGGAATTCTAGGTAATAGAGGACACGACGTTTCAGAAACTGGATATGGATCTCATATGATTGAGATTAGCTCTCTCTAAGGGGCCCAACTGAGTAGGTGTCTTCCTTTCTCACCTGAAGACGGAAACAGATCCAGTTTCCGAAACGTCGTGTCCTCTATTACATATAATTCCGGACGACGGAATACGTCCAAAAACCCAGTAATTCTCTGTGTCATCCACCATCGTCAGAAACCTTAAAATCAAGTACTAGCTTCTTAAGAAGTTATCATTTCCATTGGATTAGCTAGTCAATCTATTTCACTTTTGTTTATTACTGTACCAGGTTGTTTACCCAACGTCAGTACGCGTATACTTAGGATGTGTAATGCTGGATCTCAACGATATTAATGTAAGGCGTACCTGAACTGTTAGGAAATTACTTCATTACAATGTAAACATTCGCCTTTTCTACGAATTATTAAAATCTGGCGTTTATTTTTGCAACATTTAAAATATCAACAAAAAGCTCTGGCAAGAACTAATCGCTCACTTTCCTTCCATACGACACGGACCACATAGAAAACGACACATCCAACAGTTCTTTTAATGCCGCGGTAAACGATCTTACCGAGCCGTTGCCTAGCAACAATAGGATACAGACTGATGGAGTGGATTTATGAAGTACGAAGCTGAGATGGGCTTAGGTGCTATGAGATATATACCAAGTTTAATAAAAATTGATTCAGCCATTAGAAAGTTGACAGGGGGAGAGGGATATACAGACTGCATGGAAATCGCATAAACCCCTTTAGTATTTTCAAAATACGAATTAGAATGATCAAGTCAAAGAGGATGAGGTGGGCAGGGCATGTGGCACGAATTTGGGGGGGGGTGCATAGAGGATATTGGTGGGAAAGCGAGAAAGAAAGAGACCACTGTGAAGACCAAGACGTTTGTAGGTGGACAATATTAAAATGGATTTTAGAGAGATAGTATGGGATGGTGTGGATTGGATTGATCTAGCTCAGGGTAGGGACCAGTGGAGGGCTCTTGTGAACTCGGTTCCTTCGGGTTCCATAAAATGCTGGTAAATTCTTGAGTAGCTGCAGATTTGGAGGCTCCTCCAGAAGGGCTCAGCTTCACAAGTAAATAAGTACGGAAGTAAGGACCGCGCCATAGCTCAAGCGGTTAGTCGCTGGTTTCCCACCGCGGCGGCCTGGGTTCGATCCCGGGTTTGGTCAAGTGGGATTTGTGGTGGACAAAGTGGCGCTGGGGCAGGTTTCCCCTGCCAATCTTCATTCCACCAATTGCTCCACAATCACCCTCACCTATCATCTGGGGCTGATACAATAGGCCAGAAGGGGCCGCAGTACAAGGGAATTAGTCTTACCCCACTAGCAATAAAAAAAAAGGTACGGAAGTAGGCTTCAAACTATACNACTGACATTTCTGTCGTCCGGTAGAGCTTAGAAGCAATACCTTGATTACCTTATGTATACACTGATATGTTGGGATTTTGGACTTTATCCATCGTCCTAGTTTTTAAGATAACAAATAAAAACACGACGTTTCGGAAACTGGATCTGTTTCCGTCCTCAGGTGAAGGAAAACACATATTCAGTTTTGTCCCTTAGAAAGAGCTAGCCTCAATCACTGGACCAGTGATCCAGTTTCCGAAACGTCGTGTTTTTATCTGTTATCTTAAAAACCAGGACGATGGATAAAGTCCAAAATCCCAACATATCAGTGTATACATAAGGTAATCAAGGTATTGCTTCTAAGCTCTACCGGACGACAGAAATGTCAGTGCCTTAGGAGAAATTGTTATAGAGAAGCAAGCAAAAGGACTATTCTGTCAGAGTTCTTGAAAATGTCTATCGTCATGCAAATTTGGTCGAAACAGGTGAAACAACGCGGAAATGTATAAAGAACAGACACACAAGACGTCAAGTGTAAACAGATGTGGCCCTTACCTGCGCTGCCTACTGACGGTGGGTAGAGGCTCCTGTGAAGGTATGCCCTGCTTCTTACAACACATACCTTCCCTTTCATTTCAGAGGCCGCATGACGTCACATGAAAGCACCGTAATGACGTCACTTAAGCTTTCTTTTTCACCCAGGCTGCTTGGAGATATCAACTCAGATTGTATAGGACTGAATGGTATTATGATGATGAGTGTATAATGAATTTCAGTGTGTAGGGATGTGGTCGTGGCCTAATTTAAGGTGATATACCAGCGTTTGTCTGAAGGGACTGAGAATAGCCGGTCTCCAGCCTGAGACCTCCCAAATACAATTCACATGCGTTATCGCGGCAATAAATATAAGAATTATTGCCTTGTGGGATGTGACGCTATGTAGACTAATATAAGTGTACAAAATTTTCGGAGCAGTTTTCTGGCTCCGTCTTCAGAGTAGAAGACGACGGAATAAGTTTCTCAAAAACGTTAATGCGAGACAGGGTCAGTAAATAGGTCACAAATGGATATAAAACGTAATGTGTGCTATTCGAACGTGGGGGGAAAAAAACATTTATTTCTCGACATATCTTCCACCAGCTGGTCCCATCTTTACCAGTGTATCGAAACCAGGAATAAAAAAGGCTTTTGACTGTTGTCTCAGCCACTTCCGCACCTGTTCGGGCATCATCTGCGACTTTCGAACGTCCTTGAGAGAATTTCTCGGCCCAGTTGTGAACGCTTTACGCGACAAACACTTCCCACCGCAAACAAGAAACATTTATTTATGAATATCATTTGCACAGAGTCCTTTTGCTCACACACAAAAAAAAAAAACATAACAGAACGCTGCTCTTCGATGATACTCAAGCACGGTAGCCATTTTGATCACTGAAACCAGCCTCTGAACATGCGCATGCGCGTCTGCTACCTAGACTGTCACGAAGCTGGACTGTGCTGCTACCTAGTGATACGCACAGAAAACCTATTATGCCCATTACAGCTGTTTTACTTCCATTTGTGACCTATTTACTGACCTTGCATCTTTCCATCGTGCTATACAGTATCATGTCGCAAAAGACAGTAATCATGTTGAACTGTTTATTTACATATTTATTTATCCGAGGCACCCATTTAGTCACATGGGTTCGCCCTTCACACCTCTCTCCGATTCTTTGATAATCATAGGGGCAAATATTTATGTGAAAATTAATCACTTTCATATTCTCTTTATATTCAGTTCGACGCTTCTTACTGACCACCTTTTAGCCTCACTTTCCTGGTTTTTCTAAAAATAAAAGGCAGCTTATTTGATCACCTTGCTATCTGTGTATCCTTCTGTATCTGTCCACCTGTCTATGTACCCCCTATTATTTTTTTTACAGTTATTAGGCTTATGAGATCACCATACTCTGCCTCCCTTTAATTTTTTTTTTCGTTTTGTACTCGGTCCGTGTCGCATAAACGGAAAGTAGGCCATTTATATTATATTAAAATATTTTCTGCTACTGTAACATCGCCTTCAAGACTATTGCTATTTCCACGTAGCCCAGCCTTTACACAGCCTTCGGGAAACCGAAGTACTCTGTGAAAACCCGCCCTAGCGCCACTTTGTCCACCACAAATCCCACTTGGCCAGACTCGGGATCGAACCCGGGTCGCCGCGGTGGGAAACCAGCGACTAACCGCTTGAGCTATGGCGCGGCCCTTGAGACAGTGTAGGTAGCAGACGCATATGTTCAGAGACTGGTTTCAGGAGTCAAAATGGCGATCGTGCGTAGTGTACTACCGAAGAGCAGAGTTCTGTTGTGCGATTTTTTTTTGTGGGGGGAGGGGAGGGGGGGAACGTCTCCATGCAAAGGATATCCATATAGAAATGTTTCCTGTTTATGGTGGGAAGTGTTTGTCGGTAAAGCGGTTCAAAACTGGGTCAAAAAAATTCACTCAAGGACGTTGGGATGTCGCAGAGTTGCGGAAGTGGCTGAGAGAACAGTCAGAAGACTTCTATGCTGCGGGTTTCGACGCACTGATAAAGCAATGGGACATGTGCATCGATGTTGGTGGAGGATATGTCGAGAAATAAATGTCCTTTTCTTCCAGGTTCGAAAATCCCATGTTTTACGTTTTTATCCATTTGTGACTTATTTACTGACTCTCCCTCCGAGTTAGGAGAAACTAGTCATATGTTTCTTGCAGGTTTCTTGACTGACTCTTCGACCGTGACGGTGGAGGCGATGTTACTTCAAAACGTTTGGCTCTCTCTAAACTACACGGCGTCACAAACCAAAACACAGTACATTTCACTTATAGCTTTTAATCTTTCCTAAAATACTTTATTGTTTAAAACATTTTAGCTGTGCTAAAGTGTCACTACGTGTTGGAGGCACAGACAACAAATGTTTACTGTCGAATTTGCCCGCACATTTTACATTTCCATTTCTTATCAGTAGGAGAACTTGCAACGTGCCCTCCCGGCTCAGGAAACGAACCTGGAGATCTTGGGGCAATCTGTTCACATACCGCGCATATCCAAGTTGAATGTGCTGAAGTGTACGAAGGAACGTAATCATTTGACACTCTGCAGGAGGTCTCTTCTGATGAACTTCTACCAGAATATTCACATTTTTCATCGTATAACTTTCTGCCACTTGGCAAATTCGATGAAAAATTCTCTACTGTATCATGATATAATGGGTTCTCAAATGGCGCACTTGCAAAAACTTTATCAACGGCATGATATTTTTCTCCTGAAGCAGTTTCTGCAAAATGACCACTTGGAGCACAATAAAATCCCGTTTGTGAGTGAATACTCTGGAGCGAATCTGTGCCAGATGTACTAGCAGACCTCGGTGTATCTGACAAAGGCGTAATGTATTTGCAACTTGGACAATTCCTTAAGCGTCTTCCATGGTCACACCTTCGACGCTCCTCGTGCCTCCGAATTCTACGGTGTCTTCTTGATCGGCTGAACAGAGAGCTATGAACATCAGACTCCGCGCTCAGATGTCGTTCACTGGTTCCACTAGTAATATCTCGATCATTTTCAATGGAATTTATCTGAAATTCACATTCCAAATATATTGTTGAGTTCAAAAATTTCAATACAGTGTTATAGCTCAGAATTACGCAATCCCCGGACTGAAGAAGTTCATCCAAATTCTCCAAAATACATCGAGTCGGAAAGGTCATGGATATTTTCCTGTCATCAGATTGGGAAGTTAAGGTGAATTTGTACTTGTATTTTGAAGACTTCTCCTCGTCACCCACGTAAAACACTGCGCAGTAGAATGTATCTCCTCCTGTCCTCCAATAGATATAGTACAATTCGTCTGAAATGAATACAGCTTTGCGATAATGCTGTGTTGGTGACAGCGAAGTCAGGATGACATTGAAAACTCCATTTGATTCACGCGTGTCATTCTCGTTGTTATGAAAAACTTTAATATGCTGCTTCATATCCATTACAGAACCTTTCCAAGGACAGGTATCCTTAGATATCCTAGTGAAAGGACACTCGACACTTTGAGGTACTGTAGTGGGTTGATTTTGGACTCTCTGATTAGTCACTTGTCTGGACAGGCTCTCGAGAGCTAAGTTTCGAATATTAAGGAAAGATTTTTTGCAGGACGGACAGTTGTTAAGTTTTGGTTTGCAGTTCGAACAAATGCTATGTCCGTTTTCACACATTGTGATTGGAGGCGTCATGTGCTCCATGCAGACAGGACACTCCAACTCCAGAATGAGTCCTTGATCCAGGTCTTTTGGCAGGGAATCCATCTTGCTGGAATGGTGCTGAATCACGTTCATTCACATTTCCTGTCAGAAAGAAACCCTCAATGAGTTCTTCAAAAAACATTGGATAAAATTAGCATTATCGTCAAATTAAGTTTGGCCATTTCTTTTTTTCAGTTCAAAACATGGTCCTGAAGTGTATCACAGTTAAGAAGTCAGAAAAGGCTGGTGTAACCATAGCCCTCAAGAACTGTTTCAAATACCATCCTGGTCGAATCTCTGTGGGGCTACAGACTATCCACACTGACAATTTTCATGGTTTACCTCAGTGTCTCCAATATTAATTCCAGGATGTTGCCTTCAAAGCTTTCAAATACTTACGTATTCCTCATCATTAATGCATTATCGACCTGCATATCCTCTACAGCTGAAATAGTGTAGGTAACTGAACTATGAAACAATCAATCAGTTTCAGTAAAAGCGTTTTCCACAACAAAATCTACGATGATGTCCTAATATAGGATTGATCTATGCATATTTAGGACAAATAATTTGAAAGCGTATAAAAAACTATATATATGGGGAGAGTACAAACGAGGTTAGTAGTGAAGGATAAATTCCGAAAATACTGTTATTATCCGATTAGAAAATCAGTCATCTCCCCGAAACACTGAATAAGAATAAAAGGTAATTTTGCCAACTTTTTATGGCCATAAAAAATTATTTCTTTTTACCTCTATGAAAGAATATAAATTACAATGTTGTGTAACTGAGGTTCTCAGGCCGTGCCATAGCTCAAGCGGTTAGTCACTGACGTCCCACCGCGGCGGTCCGCGTTCAATCGCAGGTATGGTCAAGTGGGATCTCTGGTGGACAAAGTGGCGCTGGGGCAGGTTTTCTCCGAGTACTTCGGTTTCCTCTGCCAATCTTCGTTCCACCAAATTCTCCATCATCACCCGGGGCAGGATACAATAGGCCAATCATTGGCCACCGTGCCGAGTGGACCCAGTTGGACTCCACCTCCCACTAAGCGAATTAAAAGAAACTGAGGTTCTCACAGCGGTGAATGAAAAGTTTTATCTTCTGTGATGCGAAACCGCGTAGTCCGGTGAAAGTAAATCAACGTTTCGGAGCAATATATCACCTTCATCTAAAAGGTCGAAGAGTAAACGTTGCAAGACACAGCCTTGCTTACTCGCTGACTCTTAAGCTAGGAGCTATATGTTCCTACGAAACGTCGAATGTATTTCACCAGAATAGACAGACTTACATCCCAGAAGACTGACCACTTCATAATTACAGGTGTGTTAAAAAAGACAAGTTCTCAGTAGAACATTTGGGCTTAGATAATTAACAATGTTATATTTTAGCGTCCTGTTGCACTGATTTAAGTCCATGATTTATTTTATCCGTCTTCTAGTGCATACATTCATCTGCCCCTCTTCTCACTATCACTACATGTTTCGGCACAAATGTGCCATCTTCNACGCAGTCACAGGAGCGAGACGCAACATAGAGCACAATACACGATAGTGAAAGAGTGCTCCAACAGACGATGATAGACGTGACTCGCGTAATAAAACACGACGTAAGAATGAAATATGCTGTATAATTTTAATATTTTAACACTTAACGTTTATCAGTATATATGATAAATATATATTTTAGTTATTTTAGTATGTATAGACAAGGCATGCAATGAACTAGTTTGTCGTGGATTGGATCAGCTCCTGAAGATGGCACATTTGTGCCGAAACATGTAGTGATAGTGAGAAGAGGGGCAGATGAATGTATGCGCTAGAAGACGGATAAAATAAATCATGGACTTAGATAATTAACTTAGAAATGCACGATATTACGTAACGAGAAACTTCGTGATATATGTAGGTCACCTCGTGTTGTCAGCAGGGAGAATCCACGGAAGACATCATGAACTGTGTCATTCTGTTGCATAAGGCATTAAATAAAAATACGGAGCGCTCCCCCCCCCCAGATGTACACTACACAATTTAATAGAATTTACCTAAGGGCATTTTCAGGCCGCGCCATAGCTCAAGCGGTTAATCGCTGGCTTCCTACCGCGACGGCCCGGGTTCGATCCCGGGTCTGGTTAAGTGGGATTTGTGGTGGACAAAGTGGCGCTGGGGCACGTTTTCTCTGAGTACTTCGGTTTCCCCTGCCAATCTTCATTCCACCAATTGCTCCACAATCACCCTCACCTATCATCTGGGGCTGGTACAATAGGCCAGAAGTGGCCGCAGTACAAGGGACTTAGTCCCACCCCACTAGCATTAAAAAGAAGGCCATTTTACCTGCCATTCATAAGCTGTATTAAATTAAAATTACAGAAATTAAAATTCACTTAGTGGGGGGGTGGAGCCCAACTGGGTCCACTCGGCACGGCGGCCACAGATTGGCCTATTGTAGCCTGCTCCGGGTGATTATGATTCATAAGCTGTATGCGAATGAGCCATTTTGCTTTCAACAAGATGGCGCACTACCGCAGAGACTGCCAGAAGCTACTTCGATGAAACCCTCCCAGTTCAATGGATATGACGAAGAGGTAGTGCTGAGTATCCCTCACGATCCCCTAACTTAACCCTTCCCCCTCGCCTTTTACTTGTGGAAGTCCCTGGTACAAAGCCACCGACACTGGAGTCGCTACGGGAAGAAATTGAAAGGCCGTGTACCGCTATCCCAGTGGACACCTCGGCCACCGTTCCTCGTGCACCAGACCGACTAACTCAGAAGTGTCGCAGCGAACCCTTCCTGTGTGTATCACATTTGGATTACGAATAGATTATTTAAGCAAATACGAGGAAGCCAGTAAATAGACGGAGGTCGGTAAATAGGTCACAAATTTAAGCAAATCAGCTGTAATTGATGTAATACGTTTTCTATGTGTATCACTACGTAGCAGCACAGCCCAGCTTCAAGACTCAAGACAAGTGTAGGTAACAGACGCGCATGCGCATGTTCAGAGGCTAGTTTCAGTAATCAAAATGGCGACCATGCTTGAGGAATGTATTACCGAAGATCAGAGTTCTGTTGTGCGTTTTCTGTGGGTAAAAGGCCTCAATGCAAAGGATATTAATAAAGAAATGTTTCGTGTTTACGGTAGAAAGTGTTTGTCTCGTAAAGCGTTTCTCAACTGGGTCGAGAAATTCTCTCAAGGACGCTCGAAAGTCGTAGATGATGCCCGACCAAATGCAGAAGTGACCGGGACAACAGACAAAAAAAAAGACTTCTATGCTGTGGGGATTCGACGCAATGATAGGACAATTGTATGAATGTTTGTGGGCGTGAAAATAAGTAAAAAAGTAAAGCTATCCCTGTAACGGGCAGTGGAGGCCCATAAGGTTGTGAGATGTTGAGATTCTCACATTTTCTAGACAATTGGCTCATAGATGGCGGTAAGGTTGTCAGACTTACACGCCGGCCGTCCTTTACCCCCAAATAATATTCCTGGTACTCATTTCTGTTAGAAGCTGAATCGATCCCAGGGTCATAGTGCGGCTGGAAGGATTTGGTCAATTGAAAAAATCCAATGACCTCATTGGGACTTGAACCCGCGACCTTCCGTCTTGCAGCATAGTGGTTTGTGGGCGTGTCGAGAAATAAATGTTTTTCACCCCCTAGGTCCAAATATCACATGTTTTGTATTGCATATCAATTTGTGACATATGTACTGACCGTTCCTCGTACATGTGATGGGGTGAGACTGAGTCCACTTGGTAGATCGGACACTAACTGGCCTATTGTACCAGCCCCGGATATGACATATGGGTATGGGGAATGTGATGCAATGAGATGTGACAGAGGAAAGCGTAGCACTTGATAAAAATCTGCCCTAATATCACTTCGTCCAGCATTAAAACCTGGGTTCGAACCCGGGTGGAAATCCAACACGAAACTGACATCGTTAAATAACCAAAACTGAAATAGTTACGGATGATAACAGGGAATAACGTGGAACTTGTTATGGTTGTTTTGAAGCACTGCCCAATAAGTTATAAGGAAACAGTAGAAATATTACGATACTGAATTTCAAGGCCAGAATGGATCACAGCAACTACAGAAGGAGGTAACACAATATGGAAAGTGGGTGTAATATTTTGATGTTACTGTATTTTAATGAGGAAACCTACTCCATATTGTCAAAACTATTTACACTTCTTACGTAACTAAAGAAAACCCCGCAGTCCGGTTTACGTGACTCTTCAAGCTGTTTGCTTTCTCGCTAACGAGCACTGGTGACGTCAGAACTATAATCCTCATAGCAATGCCAGTCCTACACAGGATTTCCATGTATTCCATAAAGACACATTAGTATCGGCATATTTTATTAACGAACTAACTCCTGACCGATTCCTTCTTCAGAAACAGAACTCGGTGAAGAAACACACCAACATTTCTCAAACTAAAGGTTCATTATCGTATTCACAACAGTACGCCACTGGTCCCTATCCTAAGCCAGATAAATCCACATCTTCCCACCATATTTAAGATTCGTATTAATTACTTCGTGGTGCACGCTGTAGCGTATTTGGTCGAAGCTGGAAGTTCGCGGGTTTGATTCCCTAGAAAGTCATTGGATTTTTAAATTGACCTAATCCTTCCGTCCGCACTATGTTCCTGAGTTCGACTTAGCCTCTAACAAAAATGAGTACCAGGAATTTTCCTGGGGATAAAGGTGGCCGGAAGGCTGACAAATTGACAGCCATCTGTGAGCCGATTGTCTAGAAAATGTGGGACCCTCGACGTCTCACATCCCTATGCGCTTGTTCGGCCTGTTACAGGGAGAGCTTTTATTAATTACATCGTCTGATTCTTGAGTCGTCTCTTCGCTTGAGATTTCTCCTGCAATAGTGTATGAATCTTTCATCTCTGCCACGAATACTACATGCCCAGTCTATCTTAGCGGTGATTTCAAGGCCCTAATAAAATCTGGTTGAGTACAGATGGTGAAGCACCTCATTATGCAGTTTTCTTCAGTCTCCTGTCAGTTCATTCCACTCAGGTCCATGTATTCTCCTCAGCCCCTGTTCTCAAACACCCTCACTGCATGTTGTTCCTACGGGAAGATCTGTTCTATTAGGATCACTATATGAAACTGTTGCCGGTCACGGTAGCCGAGCGGTCTAAGGCATGTACTGTCTTCGCTCGCTTGGAAACCGGGATCGTGGGTTCGAATCCCACTCAGGGCATGGATGTTTAGTTTGTGTGTGTGCGTTTTTCTGTGTTTCTGTACAGGTAGAGGCCTTGCGACGAGCTGATCACCCGCCCAAGGAGTCCTACCCAATGTGTAAGATCTAGAAAAACCGAAGTGAACGGAGAAGTTCATGGAGGTAGGCCTAGGCCCACTGGGGCTGTAGTGCCAAGGATAAAAAAATTGTAATTTTTACTGGAGGTAAGACAGCTCAGTCGGTATAGTGAAGGGCTACGGGATTTGATTCCCGGCATGTGCAAGGGACTTCTTACCAGCGCCCAGACCGGCTCTGGGGCCCACCCAGCCTCCTATCCAATGGGGGTACCTGGGGTTCCTACCTTTTGGGTTAAAGCCGCCGTGGCGTGAAGCTGGCCACTCACCTCCAACTAGTGCTGAGGTCAAGAATGGAGCTATACCTCCACTCCCTCACACATCTACATGGCTTGGTGCTTAATTAATTAAGCGCAGTGATACCTTTACTTCTGCCTTGTTATTTAATGCTACTTTTGAAACATTAAAACGCACATTAATATGTCTATGATCTGAAATTATAAATGTAGGTTATTTCGATGTGATGTGCGAGAAAATATTTAAACTCACCAGAAATGTTCGGTTTTGGATGCACACCTCACTTTGTCCTCTGTCCAACGGCAGGAAACGAATAACGCCTCATGGCGATAGTCCTACTTGCGTACGTGTTTTGCTAACCGATAAGGCACATTTTGGCAGACGAGCGCGCTATCTGGCGACAGTGACTCAGCAACACACCTCGTCTGACGTGTGTAGTGCTGACTACAGTGATATTCAACTTTACAACACAATGAAATCATGTGACCAAGTAGCCAATCACACCGTTGTTACGTGCATTCACAGAGCGCTATGGTTTAGTGGTCACAGTTCCTGGCTACACATCCAGAGGTCCGGGTTCGATTCACGGCGCTACTAGATTTTCTGAGAAGTAGTGGGTCTGAAACGGGGTCCACTCAGCCTCGTGAGGATAACTGAGGAGCTATTTCAAGCAAACAGCGGCTCCGGTCTAGAAAACCTAAAGTAACGGCCGTGGGGATTCGCTGCGCTGACCACGCGTCACCCTCTATCCGCTAAAGTTGGCATTAACTTCGCCGACAAGCGGCGGTCGCTCGGTGGGTATAGTTCACTTGCGGACTAAAACCACGGAGTTCTTTTTGAGCTCAGGCGGTTATTCTCACGACAGAGTGTGGGGTTCGTTTCAGGGTCACGTCATAACATATTCCCGGTTGATGAAGTGGCACTGTCTTTCTTGCTGAAACATTTGCGAAAAAGGAGCGCTGTGTCGGCCTGTTGTCTCCAAGGAGAGGGTAACAAGTTCCAATACCTGCTGTAACCCAATTACATGCACATCTACAAAGTTTCGTTTTCGTCGATCAATTTTCTATTGAATCACCCTCTATTGACATCCCTCCTCGTCGATAGCAGATTCTAATACAGTTGGGGACATGAATACGGGTTACGCTTTGTTTGGGTCGCGCCATAGCTCAAGCGGTTAGTCGCTGGCTTCCCACCGTGGCGGTCCGGGTTCGATCCCGTGTCTGGTCAAGTGGGATTTGTGGTGGACAAAGTGGCGCTGGGGCAGGTTTTCTCCGAGTACTTCGGTTTCCCCTGCCAATCTTCACTCCACCAACTGCTCCACAATCACCCTCACCTATCATCTGGGGCTGGTACAATAGGCCAGGAGTGGCCGCAGTACAAGGGACTTTGTCCCACCCATTAGCAACAAAAAAAACGCTTTGTTTATTTAACTACGCTTTCTCAGTTTCATGGGATACACAGCGTCAAATGTTGGATGAGTATGAATGGTACATTTAAAAGTACGTGGACAGCATGACCTAGGACACGTTAATATGAGTGGTAATATCTCGGGCAGCGCAAAGAGTGACGTCACGCGTTTTAATCGTCGCCTATATAAATTAAAACTGGTTGAAAAATCCCAGGAGAAAATTATACCTTTGTCAGACCTAGGCAAAGATGCGAAGATAATATTAAAACAGCTATGAAAGGAATAGAATGTTGACAGAACTAGACACATAGAAGTTGGGCAACTATTATGGACAAGATAATGATGAGTACATCTTTTGGGATGTGACGCGGTATAGTATGGTAGAAGTACACTGACCTGTTGAAGTAATGCACTGCTTCCTTCTTCAGTGTCGAATTTTTATTAACAGTTTGATGCNCTTTCTTGCACTAAAGTCTTTAACTTTCAGTAATATTTATTTCCAGCCACAAATAGTTCCAGTTTAATGATAATTTAATATTGAAAATCTGGGAATACAAACTTTGTGTTCGCATACACAATAATTATTTTAAATATTAAATATGTTTCAGTCATTCATATGGCAGTGATTAGATCTCGGATTGTGTAGAACATTTCTGACCGAGTTCGGTTTCCATCGTGGGCTGAGGATTCCCTTAGTTAGTAACTTTGTAATCACGAAACTGCGTGAGTCTAACTATTTCAGACACGGTATAAATATAATTCATTAACCTTCTGTCCTTAAAGACAAATATATGTTTTCTTTGAGATAGGATCCTAAGTTTTAAATGTAACGTAACAGTAATTTTATCTCTATGAACGTTCACCAGAAATGCAAGTTTTCTAGCCTGCTTTCCTTATTTCAAAGCAAGAAGTTCTAGCAAGAAATAATTACCTACTTTCCTTTGATACGACACGGACCGCGTTGAAAACGAAAAAGCTATGTGGGATACACGGACACACACAGACATAGAGACAGCAAGACGATCTCACAAGCCTCCTTTTATTTTTATTTGAAACTAAGGAAAGTAGATGGAAATACTGAGTTTTTGGACTTTTTCCATCGTCCGGTATTCCAGACAATAGAAACCACAACGTTTCGGAAACAGGATCTGTTTCCGTCCTCAGGGGAGGTGGGAGACACTTACTCAGTTGTGCCCCTTAGAAAGAGCTAACCTAAATCACTGGACGTGAGGACGGAAACAGATACAGTTTCCGAAATGTCGTGTTTTCTATTCTCTAGAATAACGGACGATTGGAAAAATCCAAAAATCCAGTAATTCTGCGTGTTATACACCATCGTCAGAACCGTTTAGAATCTAAGGAAAGTAGGCTAAAAGTAAAGGAAGGCTTATGAGATCACCTAGCTCTCTGTGTATGTCTGTGTTTACCCCTTTAATTCCTGAAAGTTAGAGAAGTCAGTCAGTGAGGTAAATTGCTATTGGCTTTTACTAGCGCAACCAGTCGTTGTTTCGGGCCCCGTCAGTACCCAAAACCATATTTGTCTTCTTACTAAAACTTCTGCGTGTTTTGAAATGGGGCCTCCACTTCGACGAGTGGAGGTGCCCGACTACTACTGGTCACTCCCGCTCTGCTGGGGAGTGACTCAAGCGGCCACTCCCTCACTAACTGGCCCTCTTCTCCACACACACACACACACACACACACACCAAAGCCGGAATAGTGTGGCCCTGCGTGTTTGTATGTGCACCCCCTTTATAGTTGCTATGCATCAACTCGGTAAAAGAAATGTACGCGTCATTTTCAATGCGGTCCGTGTCTATCAAAGGAAAGCAGACGATTAGTTCTTCCCAGAACTCCTTGTCTATATCTTCCTCCAAAGCTACTTTTCAGGGTCGCCACTGGCCACATAACTTACACTTCCAGTTGGCTCCAGGGTGCGCAATTTCGATAAGTGGCAAATCATGTTTTGGGGGCTTCAGTGGCGCGAAATGTCCGCATAGAAAACATTTCCAAGTTCTCTCAGATAAAGTAGGTGTATCTGTTTGATTATTTTCGGGGGACCTACTGAACAAATCAAGATTTTCAAAACTTCTGGTATCTTTCACAGTTGATACATCAGGAGAGGACTTCACTTTGGCGTCGTTTGCTTGGGCTTGATCATGTAAAGTGTCAAACGGGGAAGAGGAAACAATTTTATAGTAGTCTGCAGTTGTTGAACGAGAAGAACTGAGTGTGGGATAAATTGATTTGATTTTATCACGTGCTTTGTCTAACTCGGAAGCATCTGTAACATGTTCACCTGAAACGTATTTCGAAGTTGTCAAACTGGAACAAGATTTGATTTTGGGATCCTTTGCCTGGAACTCATCCTGTGATTTTCCCATTTCGGGGACGTTTGGCTTTTCACTTGGAGGACAATTCACAGTTGCCACACTGGAAGGAGGTCTAACTAAGGAACCGTCTGCCTGAAAATAATTCAGTGATTTTCCCACTGCTGAAACGAAGAGAGTTTGTTCACTTGAAGGAGATTTGACTTTGGGAACATTTTTCTGTATCTTGTCCTGTGATTTTCCCAATACAGAAACTTCATTAAATTCATCATCTGAAACATTTTTTGCAGCTGATGAACCAGGAGACTTAACTTTGGGTTCATTGTCTTGGGATTTGCCTAACCCGGAAATATTTGTATGTTGATCGACTGACACAGTTTTCGCAGGTGACAAAATAGACGAAGAATTAACTTTTAGTCGAGTTTCCTGGACTATAGCGTGTAACGTGTCCATCTCGGCTTGATAAGTTGCTTCATCGCGTAGATCTGTCAGACTTCTACCCATCTTTGAATATTTACCAAGATGTCTACCCCTTTGTTGGAAGTCACGGGGTTTGGATTCACCCTCATAGTGAGATTCGACGGATCTGTGTACAACCCCGCGTCTACCTCCCCTGACAAACCTACCATGTGCATAGCCTCTACCTCGCCTAGCTCCTCTACCATTCCAGGAAATATCCGAATATGCTCCACGAGGATTATTAGTATATGAAACCGGAAACTCACTTTCAAATGGTGACGTTTGTTTTCCTATAAATTCTCGTTTAACTGTATAACCGTCAGCGTCACTCGTAAAAGCATTACTTTGTCCAGATTTTGAATTGTTCTTCACAACATCTGATACAGTTTCAATAGGTCTGATATCAAAGTCACAAACTAGATGTTTATTAGAATTCAGAAACTTCAAAACTGTATCATAATGGAGAAGGACGCAATCACCAGGTGTGAAAATATCTTTCATGTTTTTCACGACACTTTGGGTTTTGAAACTCATTGATATCTTATTTATACCGTTTTCTGTTGTTATTGAAAACATGTAAGTGAATCTCGAAGACTTCTTCTTGGGGCCGACATATAATACAGAGCAAAAGAAACGTCCGTCTTCGATTTCCCACACCACGTAAAATAATTCATCGTCTATCGACACTACTTTCCGATAATGATTCTCGGGTGACAGATTTGTGAGAATAACATTAAACCGTCCAGTAGATTCGTGCGTGTCGTTTCCATCACTGTGGCCACTCTTTATATGATTCTTCATGTCAAGAAGAGCACCAGACCATACACAGTCCTCATTTGATATTGTAGCAAATGGACATTTGTAATTTTTAGGGGAAGAATCAGAATTCTTTGGGCTGTTGTTTGTAGACACCAACATTGTCGCCAAACTTTCCAAGGCCAAGTTCCTCACCTTTAAGAAAGATTTCTTGCAGAATGGGCAGTTATTCAACTTCAGTTTGCAGTCGTTACAGATGCTGTGGCCGTTTTCACACATTGATATGGGCGGCTTCATATATTCAAAGCAAACTGGACACTCCAGTTCCTTCATGATTCCTTGGTCTACATCCTTTGGTGACTGGTCCATATTACTGGAACGTCTCACGTGAAGTTAGATTTCCTGTGATAAAAATAAAGAGCATTTACTATAATTTGGTGACGTCAAAATTAT